CAAGATGTTGAAGTTCAGTCTTGCCATCTCATTTTTGGCGAGATCTTCTAGGTTCCTATGCAGTATTGTTCTTTGCAGCATTGGACTTTCCTTTCACCATCCTTTCAGCTTTGGCCAAGCTGCTTCATTCTTTCTGGGGTTACTTGTACTTGCCCTTTTCTCTTCCCCAGTAGCATGTTGGACACCTTCCAACCTGAGGGACTCATCTTCCAACGTCATATCTTTTAGCCTTTTGTTACTGTCCATGGGGTTTTCTGGGCAAAGATACTGGGGTGGGTTGCCATTTCCTTCTCCAGTAGATCATGTTTTCTCTGAGTTCTCCACTGTGGCCTGTCCATCCTGGGTGGCCCTCCATGGGATAGCCCACAGCCTCATCGAACCATGCAAGCCCTCTTACTATCACAACCTGTACTTGTTGAAAATATTTGAAAATTTTCAATAAATATATATATTAAAAGAGTTTGGGAGTGATTTTGGATGCCTCCTTGAATATGGAGGACCAAGTCATATATATTGCCAGGCTAGCATTTTTCCACCTGCACCAGGCTTGACAATTGACCCCTTTCCTGTTGCGCCCTGACCTAGCCACAGTAATCCATGCAATGGTCACCTCCAGGCTAGACTATTGTAATTCGCTTTATGCTGTCATACTAGTGTAATTCGCTTTATGCTGGCATGTCATTCAAACTGATCCAGAAGCTTCAGCTGGGAACACCACAGACAACACACATACAACCAATGCTGTGCCTGCCACACTGGCTTCCAGTGGAGTACCCAGTCAAGTTCAAGTTTTTGGTACTGACCTTTAAGGCCTTGAGCAGTCAGGGACCAATGTACCTACATGACCGCCTCCTCCGTTATGTCCCTGGGAAAGCATTACATGCCTTGGACAACAAGCTGCTGGTTGTCCCTGGCCCCAAAAGACATCCGGCTGTCCTCGGCTAGGGCCAGGGCCTTTTCAGTAAGGAAGGTAAGGGTTTCCCTTTAACATTTAAATTCCCCCAGAACCACTCTTAGATATTGCCAAATAAACCCAAATAATTTGGCTTTTATTCAGAATTCCCTATTCTCTAGCTGAATTAGATTAGATAATTTGATTCAGCTAAATAAATACCCAAATAATATTTATTAGTATTTATTTGGCTCGGTATATACCGAGGACACACCCCTATTCTGCAGTTTCTCACTATTTCAGCCTTATTTGGTCTTTAAGTTCCTCAAATATGTTGTCTTCTTCTGTGTATCTCAACAAATATGTGTTTAGACACATATAATGTAATCATGATAAATTCCAATAATTTGGGATAGGAAGAGCACAACCCAAAGGCTGTTTTGGGAACTGCTATGATGGCAGCCCCCAGGATGGTGTGATATTGAGATATTCAGGACCAGCTCTCCTGATATGTTCTCCTGTGATAGATTTGTTCATTTTTTCAAGGTCGTTTGAAAGTGTAGCCCTAAATTGGATTCTGCTGTCTGTCAATGCACCTTTCAAAAGCACAGGAACCCTGTTAGGAGAAGAGAGTTGTCAACTCCTTTACTCAAACTTGCAATCAGAATTTCATTCCTTGTCATCAATCAATCAATAACATTGGTTTATTTTATTTTATTTTATTTATTTTATTAATTCAATTCATACCCCGCCCTCCCCGCGAATGGGCTCAGGGCGGCTATGTTACTGTTTTAATGGTGTTCAACCTATATCTGTACTCCACTAGTGTCTTGCAACAAGTTGTTCCCTGGGATATTATAATCCACCTTGGACCATGATTTGTAGGTGTGGCAGTATTTCGATAGACTTCAATGCAGTTGCTATGTGCACAATTCTTTGGGGTTGGATCTTTTTTGGTATTCCCTTTTCTCTCATGAGAAGGCATAGGACAGCAACTAGTTGTACTAGTATCGTGCTGGTGTCCTTGATGTGTTTGCATCAGTGAGCTTAAGACTGAGTTGCCTAGCAGTTAACTTTCTAGGTCATAGCTATATCCAGCAACAATTTATGTAATTATGGCAATGGGGGAAAGGCTGTTATGGTCACATGAACGGTTAATGACTCTGGATTAGATCCTGTGATCCATCAGTGGAGGTTCCAGTGAGCCTCCGGGGTAGGGCGGGGTATAAATGTAAATATAAATAAATAAATATAAATAAATGTTCATCTTTGCCACATTCCCCTCCCCCACTGGCCCTCAATCCCTGGGAAAATTGATTCTCAGGGTCACTGCTGCATTTACATATTCTAATAGCCAGACAGGTCAGGAGAATGCACTGAGTAGGGGACGAGGGGTCAAATCCTCCCACTTCCCCATTTTGTCAGCACTAGGGCTTTAAATATATACATACATGCGGTTTCCTGTTTCATTATCTCTCTTCCTTCTGAAAGTATAAATATCACACTTGAAACTGAGTCAAGAGCAGTTATTAACTCCTGTATAAAATAGTTTGCAAGCAATTATATAAATAATCTTTACTTTTTAAAAGTCTGGAAGACTTCCGCCCCTCCTATGTTTTGATTCCAATATAATTTTTGTGTAGTTGTAGTTGTTGAGAAAAATGTATTTGTATATATTTGTACTGAACAAATAGGTTTGTGGTTTGTTTGTTTTTATCCCGTCAAACAATTCTGTTTTCTATATTTACAGATATTGGTAGGTATGAACTGGATCATTGTGTTGTTTTGCCTCCATTTGTTACATACCTTTATGCATTTATTTAGTTTTAAATAATGCAGTCTAACCTATTGCATTGGAAATGGTGGGTTAGTAATAGTGGACTCATTGGGCATCATATTAATAGTGGTTTCTTATGAATGGCTGCTGGTGGTGGTAGTAGTAGTAGTGAGATTGTACTCAAGGAACTGCTCTGTTCATGTAACAGATATCTCCTGGCTCCTCCCATCTTCTAAATTCCTGGGGGAAAATCCTGCTCCCTGAGGATCAGGCCATCCCTGGAAACAGTGTAAGATGCAATGCCGGAGAATGAAATTTTAGTGGGAAATATATAGAACTAGGAATAAGGCTTGTTGTGGAAATAAATACAACGAGCTCTAGAAAGTGCCCCGGCCTTGGGCACTCAGCATCAATTTGCTGTGGCGACCTCAGCAGGTATAATGAAACAGAGTCCACTGTTTTCTCCAGGGGAACTGATCTCTGCCATCTGAAGAGCAGTTGTAATTCTGAGTGATCTCCAGCCCTCACCTGGAGATTGGCAACAATGGTTCCCCAGGAGGAAATGGCTGCTTTGAAGTCTACAGCAGTATAGCTGTCCTGAGGTTCCACCCCTTCTCAAACCCCACCCCCTCCAGGCTCCACCCCTCAAGTCTCCAGGAATTTCCTAACCTGTAGTTGGAAACCCTATCTCCTTCCCAGCCAACCATCAACCTACCTTTATCTCCATCTCCCCCACCACCACCGCTGCCTCTACCTGGGAAAAGCACAGTCTTTCTCTGCAGTGGAGACCCAAGCAGGAGGGAAGCAACCTCAGCAGGGTATAATGATACAGAGTCCACCCTGCAAAGCAGCCATTTTCTCCAAGGGAACTGATCTCTGCCATCCGGAGAACAGTTTTAATTCTGAATATCTCCAGCCCTCACCTGGAGATTGGCAGCAATGGTTCCCCAGGAAAAAATAACTGTTTTGGAGAGTGGACTCTATGGCATTCTATTCAGATGAGGCCTCTCCCCTCCCCAAACTCTGGCTTCTATAGACTCTACCACAAAATATCCAGGAATTTCTCAACCTGGAGCTGGCAACTCTAGTCAAGACTGGCCCCAATGAGTTCCCCAGAAAGGCCAAAGTAGGCCTGGAAAGGGCATCCTGCATTTGCCTTTTTACTGACAGAACCAGGCTTGTTTGTCTAGCAACAGCCACTGAAAGGAAAGTTAGCCCCACAGTAGGAGGATAAGAGAATGGTTTGAGAATGGTGCCTCACCTCAATAGCCAGCCAGCCACAGAGGAGCCAAGCAGGAGAAACATTTTCATCAGGAGAGACAGCCATTTTGGCAGTTTATTCTGACAGGGAAGAATGGCCAGGCTGGCAATGGGAGGAGGAGAGGAGCAGATCCAGCACCCAGCCAATGGCACACAAGTACTCTTGAGTGGTGATTGACGGGCCAGTGGCTGATGGAGCGCACAGCATAGCCAGTGGGAGAGCTGGGAAGTCCCAATACATTGGGCTTTTATATATATCAGATTCATGAATACTCCATCAGACACGCTGAAATGCCTTCTTTTCATAAAAAGGCATGTTTGGGTCAACCCACTGTTAGCAGTAGTAGCAGCAGCTATAGCAGTATTCTTTCTATAAGAGTCCTTTAAACAACTGCATGTATGTACAGGCATTGTGTCAGAGGGAAAGTTGTGGGTTGCAGTAAGAGAAAGTATAAGTTAAATTATGCCATTTAGCACACACAGTTTGGAACAGAGCAAAGAAATTAAAAAGTGCAAGGTCTAGCACAACTGACCGTGCATTTTCTGGACACTAACAAACTGCAAGTATATAACAGTAGCATTCGCTCTATGGAGGAATTATGTTGAAACTATGAAAGTGTTTGCAGGAAGCCTGGCAACTCTGTGTACCTCATGTTAGCGGCCATGGCTCAGTGGCAGAGAATATGCTCAGCATGCAGAAGGTTCCATATTCAATCTCTGGTATCTTCAGTTAATAGAATCAGTCAGGTGATGTGAAAGACCTCCACCTAAGATTCTGGAGACCCGCTGCCGGTCTGAGTAGACAATAACCTTGATGGACCAACCATGTGATTTGATATAAGGTAGTTTCATGCGTTCATGTGTGCATTTTGACTTTCTTGCTTTCCATTTAATGTGCGATCCAAAATGCACATCACAAATAGAAATCAGGTCAGGCATGGAAGCTCGGTGAAAAGCTATGAAAATTGATCCTTTACGCCAGCCTTAAATCGCAGGAAGTGTATTTCTGTCAGTGACATGAAAATATTCATTGGTATCTGCCCAAACCTTTATATCTCTTACCTAATTTAGATTTATATATTTGAAAATAACATCTATTACCAGCCTGATGTAAAAAGCAGTTCATTGCGACTGACATCCTCTGGAAAAGAAGGAATTATTTTTAATGGAATTGCGGACTGGTTATATGAAGGTAAGCTGTACAGATACAACTTCATTATGAACACAGGGAACATACCCTTGTATAAATTCCCCAAGAGAAATCTATTTATTCCAGAACAATGCAGCTGATGATTGTTTTAGGCTTTTTCCCTGCAAAATTGTCTGCATTTATAAGAAAGGCATGACTGTACATAGTACTAAGAAAGTTTACGGGAGCAATCATTTGTACGGTGAAATCACGTTTATTTCCTTTTTTCAATAGCAAACAACTGGATTGGGAAAGTAAGATAAAAGAAATGCAACCGTAGGTTTGTATCAAAACTTTCTGTTCCACTAATGGTAGAATTTTTGCCCATTGCAAGAAGCCTTTTGCCAATATAAGGAGCCTGTGGGAGAGGCATTTTCTTCAAGGAGAAGGCTCCTTGCATCAAAAGAGCATTCTACTGTTATCAGAGCAGAAAATTTGGATCTAACCCATAACATTTGGAAATGGGCTTGAATGATTCCATCCATTTTTTCAGTCATTTATGTGCAATAATACATAAATATACCCACATTACAAAAATGCCACCACTATTAATTTTTATAGAATATTATATGTAACAGCTATCCTGGACATAAAAATTAGAGGTACAAAATCATAAGGGCATTAATACTGCTAGTCTTCTGTGGCTATGGAGACAATGCCATCCATGTTACTTGTTCCCCAGTACAGATTCATATAGGGCAATGGATAGAACATCCTGGCTGTCATGTTTCATTCTTTCATGCCATTTCTCACCACTTATTCTCTGAGCATATGAAATGAGAAATAGCCATGTCTAGCAAACAGATGCCAGCACCACACACACAAAAATCTGGTTCCTTCCCAATCTTTTAATATTGATATTTAGACACATAACAACAAGTAAGCTTTCAATTCTTCCACCATTCTTATGGCTCTGGTATTAAATGTAGTAGGTTTTGTTTGGTGGTGCTTTATTTCCCTTTATTTTTAGCACTGTATTCACTTTTCTATGAGAAGCAAACATCTGTACCAAGTGACCTTCAGCAGGTTTTTTCAAACATCCCCAGACTAACTGTGGAAGGACTGAAGAAATGCCATATTTTTGTGGTTCCATGTGTTTTAAGAACATTTTTTTCCCCCAGAGGAGCTGCTTCATTCTCATATTACTCATTGGTGGTCACCTGATGGAGAAAGACTTGCCTTTCTAATGATAAATGACACATTGGTACCAAACATGTTTATTCCTCGATTTACTGGGAGTCTGTATCCAAAAGGGAAGCAGTACCCCTATCCAAAGGTAAGGAATCATTAAATACAGTTTTCATGGTGTACCAGTTGTTTATATTCAGTGTAACCAAAACCAATTTTTAACAATTCTTTTTGGCATCACTTCTACAGAAAATAATATTTAGAAATCTGGTTCTCTCAAATAGTTGTGGAGAGGTTGGGACAGTGTGACAAACAGACCCAAATCTGCCCCATTTTCCATATCTGCCATTCCACTTTATATGCTGGTGGTTTGGAGAGAAAGTCAACAATGGCCAATCAGGGCCCTCAGAAACCTTTGGGAGGAAAAAGGAGAGGAGGAGGAGCAGAGGGAAAAAAATCTGTTTAACTGATATTTGAGCCAGATAAGACTTAGAGGTCCCTTGGGTTAAGGATGTTGCTCTGTCTCCATTCACTTCAGGTGGAAGTGGGCTACTTAGTGTGGTGGCCTGGTGTTGCATGCACTGGATTATGGCTCTCATACTTAGTCGTTCACGGTTATTTGGAAGCCACAGGGCAAACAGATGTCTGTGGATTTAAAAAGGCTCTAGTGAAGAATCTGAAAGATAAGGAAACCTGCGGAAGGCAGTAATAGCTTTTTAAGTAACAGCCTAAGTAGTCTGGCAGTTACTGGCATTTTCTCCACTCTGACACAGTATATATACTTTCTATTAAAGAAATTGTATAGCTATATATCTATCTCTCAATAGGTTGCATAGGTATAAAGTTGGTCCTGAACATTCCCAGGCCCCTGCCACACGCAGGGGAAAAGGCGCTTGAAGGTGCGGCTTTTAAAAGCCGCGCCAATGTTGACACGGCGCGGCGGGATCTCACGGATCCCCCGGCCGCGCCGCTGTTTCTCCCCGGCGCGATCAAACGCCGGGGAGAAAACACGTCCCGAACGGGAGCCGGCTGAACTGCGCATGCCCGAGCATGTGCAGTTCGGCTCCGGGCCGGGGTTGAGCCGGCGCAAGGAAGTGCCGGCGATCAAACGCCCGGCTTGAAGCGCGCCAAGGAGTTGAACCACCAAGGTAGGTGGTTCAGTTTGGGGCGGATTTGGGCGGATTTGGGGCAGTTCGGGCACGGAAGCAGGACGCTTCCCAGATGTTGTGGTGTGATCGCGCTGCTTTGATCCGCCCCCAAACTGGCCCGCAACTGGCCCAAATCCCCTCGTGTGGACGGGACCCCAGTTTACTTTCCCCTCACTGTATAATAAGCCTTACTCTTGTTGTGTTCAGTCTCTGTTCTTCTTCTCCTTTGTATTAAGGATGGAAAAGATTATAAGCAGGGGAGGCAGGGAAAGATGGTACCTAAAGAACACCATCACTGTTTCCCTCAGGGGTTGTTGTTATTGTTGTGTACTTGTGTACTGATGTAGCTTCCCCAGGAGGCATGGGCTGGGGTCCAGCAGGGCAGGTCACAGGCAAGGTTGCAGAGAGTAACCAAAGTCCAGTCCAAAAGTCAGGGGTTCCAGATAGCAGGTTTACCAATGTCCAGTCTAGGGTCAAGAAGTTCCAAGCAGTGAGTCCAAGTCCAGTCTAAGGTCAGGGGTTCTAGAAAAGCTGGTTGTCCCGTCCAGTTCAAGGCTGCAGAGGTCTAATAGCAGTAAGGTTGGTGGGTCAGTAGCAAAGTGTACTTATTGCATCCACAAACTGCTGCTTCTACCAGCTGAATGTATAGCCAAGCCTTAATGAGCTGAACTCTCAGCCGATTCCTTGGCAGTTGTCCTGAAACCATTTATTCGTCTCTTCACTTGGCAGCTGATGATGGGCAATGAGCCTTGCACTTCTCCTTTCTTGCAACTCTAAGTGTCTCTAACTGCGTCGGTGCTGCAAGGGTGTGGGTGAGCTAGGTGGGCTGGGAGTGGCTGCTGAAGACTTGTTCACTGCTTCAGAACTACAAGGTGTTGGCTCGGTTTCAGCTGTAGGCTGTGACTCCTGATCAGTCATCCCACCTAAGGAAGTGCTGGCATGTAAGGTGTAGTTGGTATCACACACCTGTGGCCTTTTGTAAAAAAGATAGTGAAAACAATGACAGCCTACATTGTGAATAAAAAAACTGAGTTGTTAATTAGACATCTCTGAAATGACAGGTTGCGTTTCATTCTGTCATTGTTAGAGAGCTTGTGGAAAATGGACCTTTCAGTTTTAAAATGTCATCATTCTTATATTTTCTTAAAATGTATTCAGTCAGACTTCGGAAGATCACAAATCACACAAAAGCTTTTTAAAACTAGATTTTAAAAGAGTTTTGATGGATAAGAATGTTACTGCAACTATCACAATTTAGCTCTAAATAGTAGCAAATATATATGAGAAAATTTATATACATAAAAGCTCAGTTTTATTACTATAGATCTGTTTGATATTTACTATAATTCCATTTGACAGTTATTATTACGGTATTAAGTGACATGGTATTGAGAGGTATGATTAAAGTTGTTGCTAATAATATCTGTAAAGATTCTACGATAGTCTTTCCTAAAACAGAATTCATCTCAAATATTGCTTTAGAGGGTTTTTTAAAGAAGCATATCATTATGTATTATCAAGAGAAAACAAAAAAAAGTTAAAGATGACGTATTAAATTGAATTAAACTTTGGGAGATCTGGTATCGCACATCACAAGTGCTAAGGAGAATACCAAGAAGATTGGGCTTTTAAGATTTAAGGTTTTATTTTGATCATGTCACAGACCACCAATTGTGACGAAACCAAAGGAGAGAGACAGAGGCTAATAAGTTGTTATTTCTGTTTTTTTTATATATATATATACAATACATCTATTGTACTCCTGGGGCAGGAGAGGGAGCAAATGGAAAACGGGGAACAAACTGTGTAGAAGTGCTTACTGGAATAGTTTTACTGATTACAACCATTGGAGTATTTGCATAGTATAGGGCATGGATACAGCATCAGGCAACCCACCTGGTGACTGATGGCACCCACCTTTCCTCAGCCTACCTTCTGGGTAGCAACATGGAATGGCAAGTCCTGGGATCCCACATGAATGCAAGCTGCTGCGTGGTTCCGCTGCCACCTGGGAGTGAAGCTGGCCGACAGCCCCTGACCTGGGGACATTGCCGAATAGCCCCACCTTCAAGTCCCCTTATGGGGGGGTCACCAAAATGAGAGAGGCAGGCACACAGACACAGAGCTCCTCCCCAAATGGACCCAGCCCAGTGCCCAAACTGCTCCACCCAAAGCTATATGACAGCATGAAAGCAAGAAGACAATCTGAAATAACACGGTGTCATGAATGCATGAGACTGAGAGAGGGAGTGAAGGAGAGCTGGAGCTGACTGTGTGTGGGACCAGGTGGCAGAGCCTAATATAAAGTGGAAGGGCAGAATGGAGTGAAAATTCAAGGTCCACCCCTCTGGCCTGGACCAAGTGGCCTGTGAATTGCCAGCATAGCTGCTGCCAGAGACTACCCAGGAGGCCACTGCTGCCAAGAGGAAGGGAGAGGAAACCCTCCCTCCTTTTGCCTGCTTCTGGCCCCACTATTTCAAAAGCACTCCTAGGTAAGTCCAGGGCTGTCGTTTTTTGTAAACTCTTTACTTTGAATATGTAGGGCACTCTACCGAGCCTGCCAGAATATATGTTCTTCTGCATGTAGTTCTTCTGTTCTATTCTTTCTGACCAGAAGCAATAAGGTTAAAAATACCCATCTATACCAGGGCATTTGGTTCAGTGTTGTGAAGGGGTATCTTGAGCAACCCACCCTACTCTTGCTGTGCACCCAGATCAGAGTCTTATCGGTACTTCCCTTTCCTAGCCTGTCCTTGCCTTTTTTATGTTTGTCCTGCAAGTATACCACACATATAACAGAATGGTATTTTTCTTGTCCTCACTGATCCTCTACTAGATACTTTTTAAAAAGTTGTACTAGCAGTTGTAATATAAACCCACGAACAGACTTTCCATTTCCATGTGGCATTATCTCACACTTGACTACTGTTTTTTATTTTGCTGTCAAGTGCCTCTGGTATTGGAACCAAAGTACGGACTGTCATAAACCTCACTGTTGCCCTCCCACCTTCCCACACCATGGCTGGCCAAGAGAACAGTAGGATTTGGCTGGAATTCTTTTAAACCATCTGTGATAGACTGTCAAGGGTTAATGCCTAACTGAGTCTGAGAACCTTTGAGTCACAGGCTGTTCAAATGGAGTTCTGTTGAGAAAGTCAGTTAACGAATGACAGTTGGAAACTAACAGCTGAAGAAGAGACAGTTAAACACTGACTGTGGACTGGGAAGGAGGCTAAGAGAGTGAGTGAATCAAGGAGGATCATCAGTCAAGCAAAAAAAAAGGGGAAGAGAGCTTCTAGTAAAGAGAAGTGTTCCCTGATCAGTTAAGAAGGGAAATAGCTTCTAGAAAAGAGGAGTAATTCCTAGTCTGGGTATAAAGAAGGATTTTGGAAACTTGATTGTATGTTCCTGCCTTCTAAACTTTACATGTCAGTGAAACTCAGAAACCTATGCTTGAGTGTTTAAGCAGAAACTGAAAAGAAAGCCTCTCTCCTCAAAGTTTTAAAGACTTTTTTGAATAGCAAAAACACTTACTTGTTGGCAACAAATTATCTGGTGTTCGTGTGAATACGTTATCTCCTTTTTATTATCTGTTCCCACCTCATACATCCCACACCTGATTCCACCTGACCTTTTCTCCTCCCAAGTTAAATAAAACATCTTGTTTATTTTGAACTTTCACAAGCCTCTTGTGTGCTATGTTAAAAGGATAATATAAGAAGGTGATTATGTTTTTTCACTGAGTTCCCTGAGCTGGGCCAGCATCAGTGTGTGTGTGTAATAAAGGGACTGGGTGGGAAATTCATAGACAACAAATAAGAAGAAAACAGATAAAGGGGCTGCTCAGCAAGAAAGTAGACAGAAGGGGAAATTCTGTATGTGAGAGAAGGCGAGATTGTCATTCCCTCAAAAAAAAGTATTACTGAACCCCTTAGTCTTTGGGTAGAATCTGCCACCACCAAAAGAATCCTTCCAGTCTTTCTCCCCCACCAGCTCTATTGGACACTAGGATTTTTGAGGGGGCAATATGCATAGAAGATGAAGGTGTGGGGCTGTTTTCCCTCCCTTCTCTCTCCTCCTGTCCTGTTTCACTCAGGTGGTGCACCTGGCTGATGCTGGTTTTCATGGAAAAAATGCAGGGCTACATAAGTGAGATTCTAGGTGGTCAATTCACACTCAAGATCATTAACAGAATAGATCTTTAATAACTAAGCATAAATCTCAATAAAACTCAGGTAACTGAGAACATTCAGAAAACAGATAACTAGAGCCAAAATACCAGGCAAAAGAACGAGAAGATGTGGTCCTAGCTAATTCTGCACTTGAAAATAGAAACTTCTACATTTCTTTCCCTGGAATGGGTGCTAGGGTTATTTATTTTATTGTGATTTATTATTTATTAAATAATAATAAAATAATATTTAATTAATTATCTGTCATCAACTATTGTCTCCTTCCCTCCTGGATGGGTTTTAGGATTTAATTGTCCCTCATCTCATAAACAAGCCTGTGTTATTCTAAGGCAGAATTCATCCTTCCATAACACAAACAACTATCCAGGAAAAAAAAAATTGTGGTGATCTCTGTTATTTGCAAAAGGACTCTAAAAGATGGGGCAACCAATTATTCTTGAGCTGAAAGTCATGAAGTTCTTTGGCTTATGAATAATGGAGAGTCAGTTGAGCTTAGAAGTCATATTAGTCAGTACTTTGAGGGAGAAAAGGTATAGGTTTTATATTGTGTTTACTGTATTAAATGTTTAAAGGGCTATTTTATGGACAGAGTGATCCTTGTAAGCTGTTGTCTTCCATGTTAACAATATTGTGGGCAGAAATAGAAATATTACTCTTGTTTCCTCAGCAAATAGTATAGGTCATGGCTTATGAAACCAATGAAGATGCATGATGGATAGCTATGTGACCTTGAAAGATTGATCCACATAGCTGCTATGCGTCTTCTGTATTTTTACATATGAACATAGTAGTCTTTTCTTCTTGTTAAAGGCAGGTCAAATGAATCCAACAGTAAAGCTATATGTAGTAAATCTGTATGGACCAACACATACATTGGAACTGATGCCACCTGACAGCTTTAAATCAAGGTAAGTGATCTGGAAGATCCTGATGTTTAATTTGTTATAGCTAAACTGACTGAAATATAATAGTGAATACCACAACCACCTTTGTTCCAGGATTCCAGATATCAGTGCAAACTGTTTCATTTTGCTTTGTAAATTTCAGTGGTAGTAACCACTCAAAATGACTTATATGTGCATATAGCAGGAAATAAGACCATGGCTATCAGTCTTAGTTTAAACAGGCCACATATAATCAAAGGGCGTTCAAAATAGAATTGGTCTTTGCAACAATCAGAACTACAATGCAGTACTTCATGTATATTAGTGTGTCACACCCATGGGGAACTATGAACCCTGATGCAGAGCACAACATTTCTTTTTTTAGCTGTTTTCCTAAATTAGGGTGAGGTGGATTTTTTAAAAAAAATCACTTGGCTACCCAAGATCCATTTCAACTGAACGTCATAGTTACAAGTGAGTTTGCTGTCAAAGTGTGATCTAAAATATCATGGAGAGTGGATGGTTTAAGCCACAAACCTCTTTAGGAACACTGATTTTAAATGATAATTATGCAAATTATTTTATCACATAATTCAGATATGATCCCTTATCATGATTTCAGTGGTGGTGGTGGGGAATACATGATAGGTATTTCTCCCATAGCTATTCAAATGGCAAAAAAGTTGCACATTTGCATGAACTATCTTTTCTTCTTAAATCAGTGATATCTTCAGGTTTGCTAGATATTTCATGCATTTGCTGTATTCTCTTTGAGTAGAAGATCATTTTAAAAAATCCATTCCCTTGTCAGCTCACAGGAGCTTGAAGAAGCATGTTGCACTCCTAGAAAAATCAATTTTAATTTTAATTTTACCCATGGAAGCATAAGGTCCTGGTTCCAGAAAACTGAAGCTCTACAGCAGTATAAAATAAAAACAGATTGGAAACAAATACTACCTGTGCTTGTACCTTCTTTCTCTCTCACACACACAGTTGCTGTGTCTCTGTGCTGCACGCCCCCTTAAAAACATCCACAACCTGCAATTGTGCAACTTAGTATTTCTGTCATTGTTCTTGCTCTGCGCTGCTGGGGTTTGGATGACCAAGTGTCAGCTCTGCAAGGCAAAAGACAGGAGCAAGGAAAGATGGCAGCAGCATTCTGATTAGCAAAGATACATGCCAGAGAACTAGCAGCATATCACAACTTACTTTCCTCATGGCACTGTATGTTGTGTTCCTATGATCAAACTATTAAAAGAGAAAGAGAAGAGGTGTCCATTTGCAATGTCTACATCCCCATCAGTTCAGTCATTTGGCTATTAGTTCTAAGTTAGCTAGGATGTTCAAGGCAGCTTCTAAATTCAATGTTAAAACTAACCAAAAGATACTAGAGTGTCTGCCTTGAACACAAAGCTCAAGGTGGGAAATCTTGGTTCATCCATCAGCACAGAAAGTGGCCTTGGGTGAATCACTTTCAGCCTCAATTCTCTGTTTCTAAAAGGTTAGTATTAATGACTTACCTCAAAGCTATATTTTGAGAATGACAGCAAATCATTCTGTGCTCTAAAGAGATCAAGATGTTTATGCTTAAGGGTTAATTTAGATTATGAAATATAGCTGTGCTTCCAGGAAACAACTGCATATTTCTTTGCTTTGTTCTGTTCTCTGTATCTGTTGACATCATTGAGCACATCATAGCAGTCACTAAGATATTTCTCAGATCCCAAAATTCATGAATGAGGAAGGAGAAAAGTAAATTTGTTAAATTATAATGCTAAATGCATAGGGAAGCAGCTAATGACGTCTGTTTGAGCCACCCCCAAAAAATTGCAAAAAGTAATTATTTCAAAGGATTGTCTTACCAAAGTGTTTTTAAAAGGTTGCGGTTAAAAAGGTAGAAGCTAAAATTGATGGGACAGTTAGTAACATATCTCAGAATGCCTCGTAGGTAAGGGAAAATTCAGATGTGCTGTTCCTGAATAGAATATTTCAGCCAATGGCAGGGGTATGCGCACACATACAATTGAAAACAATCCATATAGATTAGTTATGAATATGGTAGATATGTAAGTAAATATATTTTTTCATCAGCTCTGCTTTAATGTCTAATTTACCAGTTGCTAAAATGATATTAAAATGAGATCAAAGCTGCTTAACCTATGGAATCCAAAGCAGTGCCATTGGGGGGTAAAGGTTTCTCCACATTCAGTGACTTCAAAGCTGCAGCTGGTATTCCTAGAGGAGTTTAAATCTCGTTTGGAATACTGCTGAGCTGGATTGCGATAGGTGAAACCTGCCTGTCAGCTGCCATGAACAGTACACTGAGCTATGTCCTAGCTATGACAGCTTGCAGTACGGCTTCTTAGTAACAACTTCTGCATAACAATCTAACAGGGTTTGTGGGAAAAGTCAACATCTGTGTCACTGATAAAATCTCTTTGTAGGATACCCTTCTTTAGCTAAACATAGTTGAAGACAGGAAACATGTCTGTTAATACAAGATGCAAACATGAATGCACATGTGTATGTAGTACTACGAAAGCAATTATTCATGCTGCTTTGTCTGTCTGCTTCTCTTCCCACAAAATATCTGTATCATCTTAAATTGTCTCTGGCATGCTTTTGTACTTCCAGTTGTTTTCAACCTTGTTTTCCTTAGCCTGATGAAACATAGCAAGTTAGTGTCAAGACTAGGGATGTGCATTCGGCTAAATCCAAGCGGGGGGGGGGGATCCGAAAAAATCTAATTGGCACTTTCTGGCTCATTCAGCCGGATATAGATTTGTTGTTTTTGTTGTTGTTGTTGGCTATCTGAAATGGGCAAGCCCCCAAAATTCCAAAAATATTTAGGATTTTTAAGGACCACTGTATAGTCAAAGTTAAAGAACATTTAAAGGGATTGTAATCCCTTTAAACATCGTTCTGGGTGAACTCGCCACTTGGAGAAGGTGTTTAAAGGGATCGCGAGCCCTTTAAATGCCCTTGGAGTTTACACACGAATTGGAGAAAGCATTTAGTGGGACAGTGATCTCTTTAAACACCTTTTTCCCTTCCATTGAAACTAATGGAGGAAGGGGCACCTTCTTTGGGGGCCCATAGAATTGGACCCCCTGGACCAATCTTTTTGAAACTTGGGAGGGGGGTTGAGGAGAAGCCCCAGCAGTAATGCTGCAAATTTGGTGCCTCTACCTCAAAAAACATCCCCCACAAAGTTCCATATACCCCTAGATTGATTCTCCATTATACCCTATGGGGACCATTGACTATAATGGTCCCCATATGGTATATTGGCGCCAAAAAAATCATGATCTCCAAAAAATCTGAATTTGAATACCATACCAGTATTGGGGTTTGGGAAAATCAGAAAATATCAATAATTTTTGGGTTTAGTATAGCTGAAAAATACCTTCTTTTTTTTTTGCACACCCCTAGTCTTCTCTTCTATAGCTTCACACCATCTTAATGGTCTTAAAGTAGTGTGGGTCTGGACTAGGGCTGTTTCCATTATGAGGGGTGAAGAATGACAAGTTTGTTGGCGTAATGATGGATGCACAGGATAATAGTCACTATCAAAATAGTCCATTGTTTTCAAAGTTTCAACTCTTTTAAAAAGATCAACAGAAGCAACAAAGTAATCCATGACACTTGCCCCTTTATGATTTATACATGTATAATCTCCTTTGTTAGCAAACCAGATACATTCATTCAAAATCACTAGATTGTTCTTTAATAATAAGGATGCAAAATACCTGCCAGCACCATTAATTTTCCTATCTTTGGATCTTCTGTAGTTCATAATTAAATTGTCTTTTATCTGAGTTTCAAAACATTTCAGAAATAGATCTTCATTTGTTTCCCCAACCTTAGCACACCCCTGGTCAACATGAGGAACAACTCTCATGTCCATTTTGAATATGGTAACTGAATAATAATTCTTCAGTTTGGTGTAGTAGTTACGAGCGTGGACTCTAATCTGGGAGAACCAGGTTTGATTCCCCAGTCATCCACATGCAGCTGCTGACATGACCTTGTTTCAAACACAGTTATCTCGGAGCTGTTCTAGAAGGAGCAGTTCTCAAATGAGCTCTCTCAGTCCCACCTACCTCATAGGGTGTCTGTTGTGGGGAGGGGAAGGAAGGAGACTATAAGCCGCTCTGAGACTCCTTTGGGTAGTGAAGGGTGGAATATAAATCCAATATCCTCCTCTTCTTCTAATTCTTCTTCTTCATCATCATCATCATCAGTTTTGCCTGATGAATGTGGTCTCAGGATTCTGACAATCACCAATATGATGAATAGTAGAAAAATACAAAAAAAAATTCAGGAAGGTGATTTCACAGCTACAGGTGAATAATATTAACACATGGAATTCACTGCCACAGGAAGTGGTGGCGGCTAAAAGCATGGACAGCTTCAAAAGGGAATTAGATAAGCATATGGAGCAGAGGTCCATCAGTGGCTATTAGCCACAAAGTATAGATAGGGGCTCTGGGGCAAGTGATGCTCTGTCTTCTTGGTGGGAGGGCTTCTAATGTCCGGCCCCACTGGTGGACCTCCTGATGGCACCTGGTATTTCTGGCCACTGTGTGACACAAAGTGTTGGACTGGATGGGCCTTTGGCCTGATCCAACATTGGCATCTCTGATGTTCTTATGTTCTTAATATATCTGTTGTGTTTTAATGCATCTGTTTCACAGAGAATATTACATTATGATGGTGAAATGGGTCAGCAATACTAAGACAGTTGTACGGTGGTTGAATAGACCTCAGAATCTATCCATCCTGACAGTGTGTGAGACGACAACTGGTGCTTGTAGCATGGTATGCAATTTCTTTTTAAAGTTTTCCAGGGAAGCATTATACAGTATTTTATTTATATCCTGAAAGCATGGCTTGGAGTTGTATTTTGGATCCAATCCATCTAACTGTTTTTCAAATGACAGTTATTGGAAATCAGTTTGTGGTGAGGATTAATGTAGCTAAAACACCCACACCCACACATGCACACACAGATGCTCAGCTATCATGCTTTCATCCTACTTCAAAAATTGGATTGGATGATCACATAGCAGTATATGGGGAACATTCATGAGTGCTAGGCAAGCCAAAATCTACCTGTTAAACAGTGATAAAATGCTAATGTGAATCCTCTGTAGAATATTCACAACCACTCATCAAACAGAAGAAACCTCGCTATCTAGGCCTGAGGGCACTACCACCCAAGGAGACCTGTCTGGCCCACTTCACCACTCCACCCAACCAAGGGTTGGTGTTCCCTTTCATGAGTGCTAGATCAGGATGGGGAGCCTTTCTCGGGCTGACCATTGCCCCACAGGCAGGCTGATGGATGCCCCCACCCATCACCCAGTTAGCCACAGCCTGCTGTCTGGGCAGGTGCAGGGGAATGGCCAGCACTTTCATTCCCAAGCATGCCCCTGTTCCCTCACACAGACATGTTGCTTATGGCCATTCTGGCAGTTCCACACTGTGTGGGAGCCCAGCTGGACCAGGTGGTGACCATCCAGCAGTGGCTGGAGAGGGAAGTGGCCAGTGTGCAAGTACTCATTGGGGATGTGGAGTGGAACATTTGTAGGCTACTGGACGTTGTGTGGGCCTAAGAACAACAAAATAAAAGTGCAACGGGAAAAGGAATAGTGTTATTCCACTATACTGCCCCAACACATTTTGCCTATGCTTCTTCAGGGGAGTATATAAGAATACAAATAAAAACAAAGATATATCTGTTGCTTAAAAATGATTTTAAAATATAGTAAAAGACAATGCACACTGAGCATGTACAAAGTACATGAATGTATACAGAATCAAATAGATATTATAGAGGTGCAGTACACAGAAATAAAATCTTAAAACAAAATTTGTACGTAACACTCCTGAACATTCACAACATAAAAAGAACTGACCTGTATAATAGCTGTTGTAGTCCTGCCATGTGGTTGCTAGCCCATGGACCTCAAGGGCATAAGAGGGCATCTGTCCCAGTTAGGCATGGCCATGGGCAGGCTTTCAAATCATTTTCAGACCTAAAGGGGTCCACAGGGAATGGTTGCTGGCATTCCCACAAGGGTGGCCATGAAGCCTGGCCATTGTTCCCTTGAGACTCCCCCACTTCCCCTTGGAAATGAGTCTGTGTTCAAGCATTCCAGTAAATTTTATTGTTAGATCATGCTTGTGTATTCCTTTTATTCATGTCATGGGCTCAAATGCCCAAGGGTTGGGTGGTGGGACCTCAGGAAGGGGGCCCTGTGCCAGTCTGGCCATTACTATGGATGGTTCCAGACCAGCAGCACATGGACAGATTGGTTAATGGGTACTGCCTGAGGAAGGAACGCACCTGCATTGGTGTGACCATGGGGAGGTGCACCAGTCACAGGGTCCCTGGGCTGTACCCACACCCCAGGCAGGTGGGTGCCTGCAGGCTAAAACAGTGTGAGTGCTTGGGGGTGGGGTTAGGGAGTGTCAGGGGTTGGGGAAGTAAGGCGGATGGGCAGCTACAGGGCCATTCAAGTCACCATCTGGATGGCCATCTTCCCTTGGGTATGGAGTCTCAGGCATATGGGAGTTGGTAGTACCGCTGGGTGGGCTCTGCTGAGGCTGTGTCATTGCTGCGCTGCCACTTGGTAGTGGATCTGGGATGCTTTGCCAACATGTCTCTGGGTTGCTCTGGGTTGCACAGAGTAGTGATTGTTTGGCTTCTTATGCATTCCCCCCCTCACCGAAAAAAGGGGTATGCTGTTTTGCTAGTTGGAAGAGAAATATATGTGAAGCATACGTGTTAACTTCTGAATCAATTTACTTGTTCGTCATGTTGCTAAAGCAGATTTTTCTAATAAGGTAAGTTTGAATACACTATGCTTTTTTCTTCGTAATAAATAGAAGTCATGGGAGGGGTCAGTGCAATGCTCTACCAGGAATCACTACTTAGGCTAAATAGACAGGAACAGCATGAGGTGCTGCTGGTTTGTTTCGTTGCATACATCACTGTAGCGTATTTAAGATCTACTTTTCTTACGCACCTTCCAGTAGCCTCTTCAGTGAATAGAACAGCAGCAGGGTCTTCTGCTGTGCCACAGATCGCGCTAATGACTTAACATATTTTTAAATAGGTCGATGTGGGAAGGCACTGCTTTACAAAGTTGATAACAATTAAGGACACACTCTCCAGTATGTGTTTGCTTTCGCTGTGCTGACATTAAAAAGCTAACAATTAGAAACCAAGTTTGCAACAGTTGTTGCGTTTTTAAATTGTAATGCTGGCTATTTGCCAGATAGCATTGAATGACCTAAACGTTTGCAACTTCTGGATGATAACACAAGGCCAAACATGTTTTTAAAGCTGATTTTCTGGATGATATGATAGCTGGTAAAAGGTGTTATGTGGCCTGTGTGCTAGGACTTTCAGTAGGTAATCTGCTTTTGTTTGTGTTCAGTAACAGATGAAAGAATGGATTTATGTGACTTTAGGTGAGCACTACATTTGTATGCACTTCATAACTGGATTTTTTTGTGTGTTTTTTTAGAAATATGACTTTGCATCTGAAATATGGCTTTCAAAGCAGGTACTTTAATCCATTGATCATTTTTCTTAGCAGAATGCAGTCAGAGCTTCATATATTTATAGGAAACTATTTTATAAATTAATCTATTTAAGAATTCAATGTAAATCTAAAGATAGGAAATGTTTTTAACACATCTGAATAATGTAAGAAATCTGAAACACCAAAAAATGTGATGCTGCACTAGAGTTTTAAGGGCACCTGAACTGGCATTTTAGACAGGTATACTGAAATAGAACATATATTCTACTGTATTTAATATGCATTCAACTGTCTGATCCAAAAAGCTTTTAGTGCAAGACTGTATATGAAGTCTTCACATATACAGTGTTAAAGAATAACGCTCCACCAAATGGCCTCATTCTCAATGCAGCAAGCCAAAAAGACTGAAGTCATCTGCTATCAGGTGATGAAATACTGAAAACAGCTATGACAGATGTTGATGGTAGGCAAAATTGTATCTAGGAAAGTCAACTATTGTCTATATGCAACAATACGTTTGTTAATATGTAAGATTCCACAAGAGTTTGTTGTTTTTATAGCGGTCACTGCTTTTCTCTTTTTTATTTCTGGCTTGATTCGAAAATCAAACATTCTGAATCTAGCAGAAGCACCACATTTTGGGGGACAGAAGGAACAAATAATTGATTAATGCTTTAACATTTCATATATTGAAAGATAAAGTAGCCTTAATATCATAGTAACATTCTCACACATCATATATCTAATTCTAAACAGGGCCGTAGAGTTGGGATCCATAGACCCACAAAATGGAGCTGAGGCACATAAAGAGGATTTCTTTACAAACTTGAAGCGGTCCCAGGTTTGCAGAAAAATCTGAAATCTAAAATTTATATACATACATTGGGGTTAACACTCCCCAGAATAATAGAAACAACATCCTTAACATTAAGAAACAGTGAGCTGTGCATAAGTCCACTGGCAACCACTAAAGCCTCAGTACCCACACCACCAGGTCAGGCCCAGTGATGGCAGCCACTATGCAACTGGGTCCAGCCTGGTTGTGGCACTCTCTGTGAAGGGGTGGCCTTGCCTGGTGGTGGCAGGCACCATGTAACAGGGCCTGGCCTGGCCTGGCCGAGACGATGTAACTGGGCCCCTCTCAGTGGTAGCCACCACACAACTTGGCCGAGCCCAGTGGTAGTGGCTACCATACAACTGAACAGGGCTTTTTTTGTAGAAAAAGCCCAGCAGGAACTCATTAGCATAACAGGCCACACCCAACAGCAGAAACTCATTAGCATAGTAGGCCACACCCTGACATCACAGCATATTAGCATATTAGGCCACACCCCCGTGTCACCAGAAGTGTTGTCATCCAGCCACACCCACCTTTTGCTTCTTATTCTGTTTACCTTGTTTGTTGTCAAAACCCAGGGCTTTTTTTATAGCAGGAATTCCTTTGCATGTTAGACCACACACCCCAAATGTAGCCAATCCTAATGAGTTTCTGCTGTTGGGTGTGGCCTATTATGCTAATGAGTTCCTGCTGGGCGTGGCCAACTCAGGAGCCAGCCGGAACTCCGTTCCTGTGCATTCCTGCCCAAAAATAGCCCTGCAACTGAACCACATCTTTCATGGAAAGAGGCTGCCAGGGGGAGGGAAGAAGGGAAATCTGAACACAGCATAGCAGATAAAGTCGGATCCTACTATGTAATTTTGCATCTTTTAACGTTTCATGTTAATACTTATGTTTTACTTTGTTCTGGGGTTGGTTTCTTTTTTAGATTTTGGGTTGGTTCTACAACCCAAATACTCTTTCATTGTTTATCAAATGTCCCATCCTGTTGATTGTATTGACTCACTCTGTGCTATCTGCTTTGAGTCCCAGTGAGAAAGGCAAACTATAAATAATGGAAACAAACAAACAAACAAACAAATATTGGCAGGATGGCTGGTGGGTGGGAAGGAAAGAAGGAAGCAAGGAAAGTGAGAGGCTATGAGAACCGTCAGGGAAGGGAAAGTGGAAATAGTGTGGGAGGGGGTGTACGGGAAAATGAGATGCCCTCCACAAGTCGTCGTGGATTCCCCATTTGTCATATTTAAACCTACACATTTTGATAATATGAGCCATGAGAAAAAGGCCCTGCAGATGTGGGTCTTCCCTGCCTTCTCCTTTCCTCAGCAGACCATTGTGACCACCAAAAAGCTGATGCTTAGGTCAGTGGAGCCATAGGTCAGTGGAGCATCATGAATAAAATGCTACTGGGTGTGGTGGGGCTGCTTTAAATAGAAGGAATTGGGCAAAAGGACCCCTTCCTTCCTTCTACCTGTGGGTTCTTTTATGCCAGCAGTAAGTTCATTGGCAGATGAGGATGGATGGTGTGATTTGTTTCTTCTGATTGCTTCTCTTCACTGCAAGTCCATATTCCCCAGTACATTTTGTCTACAGGGCTCTCCTGATCCCTAGTATTATCTTTTTGGAGGTCACAAATGGTGCTGCTGGCAGAAGGAAAAGGCAAGAGACTCTCATGGTTCATAGGATCCAGACTTTTGCTGTTAAATGTTTCTATTCCAGACTGTATTGGCCAACTAAAGTACAGCAAAATATGCTTCTAGCACAAGAAAACCGAGAATTAAGTTCTGTGGAAGAACTGGTAATTCACAATAACCAGCTATTACATTGCAGTCATTACGTACATATGCAGCCAATGTTTGATATATTAAAGAAAACAATGGTAGTGTAATATAATATAGTTGTAGCTATTGTTAGGTTGTACAAAATTGCACTGTAATTGGCAATTTAGTACAAACTAACATTCTCTATAAAACTGAACTAAATTCAAAGCAGATTTAAAAGAGGCTTAGAAGTAAGGCATGATATGATGTAGAAAGTTCTGGCTGCAGAGCTTCCAGCAAAATGCAAGTAATGCAGCATGGTCAAGACTGGAATTGACTTCAGTGGTTGGCTCAATACAGCCACTGTTTTTGGTGCTTCCAATCTTAATGAAAAAATGTTAGAAACTGCTTTTTAAATACGTAAAAGTAAATTTCATAATACTCCTTTTAAAGTGTGCTAAGTAAGGCAGCTGCTTGGGGAAAGGTTTATGGTAGGATAATTCTGTCATAGATATATTTAATAATTATAATTTCACCATTTCCCCCACAAAATATTATTTGTTTTTGTTTATTTCTACATTTCACTGTTGTAGCAATGCTAGCATATGCAGGTCAATTTTAACAGAAAATTTCATTGTAATGTTCTGTTTCATTGTTGTAGAATGAGGAGCCAGTTTTCTCCAAAAATGGCAGTGAATTCTTTATGACAGTTCCTGTTAAGCAAGGTGGCCGTGGAGAATTCCATCATATTGCTATGTTTAATGTTCAGGTAAGTTTGTAGCTGGTCCATATGAACTGAAGGAGACTGCAGAAATGATCTTCCCCATCTCCTTTGCAACCTACCCTGCCACTGACATGGCAAAACTGCAAGAGAGTCGGGAAGAAAGAATCACGACTTGCCCCTCCTGTGACACAAATGCAGAAGGCAGTGCAGCTGCAGGCAGACCAGCAGCTAGGCAGAGCGAGAGGCAGGGGCGTAGACTTTCCAATTTCTAGGGCGGGGGGCTGGGGCTGGGCCAGAGGCATTGCTATGCTGGGTCCTTAAAAGAACCGAGGCCCAGTGACATCATAGGGAGGAACCAGTGACATCACAAGTCATTGTCACTATCTCTAAGGCGGAGCCGTGTGGGATTTAGGAAGGGGCTCCCCAAAAATTTAGGCGGGGGCTGGGAACCCATGGGAACTCCCTTAGCCATGCCCCTAGGCTGGGCTAAACCCAGGAAAAGGTGTGAGTTGGCCAGTGGTTGTAGTGGTATCTCAGTGGTCTCCTGCTGTGTCCTTTTTTAAAATTCAGTTTTAGAATAGTCACTTTAAGATCTGCAAGTATACATACCACCAGCCTGATACCCGTGCTTCGCTAGAGTATTTAAGTTCCGTAAATACAGATATAATACTGATGATGTGAAGTTTGAAATGTAACATTTGTTGTAGGAGAAGATTGTATGTAAAAAATGAAGCGAGACATACATCCTTGTGTTTTTTCCCTCTACTGAAGGACCTCTCTGTAGACCACATTGGTGGTTATGCCCTCAAGTGCTAGGATCACCAGGCTGCTTGGTGAGCTCACTCTGGAGCAGGCCACATTAAGAAGCAGGCGTCTGTTAAGTCAACTCCTGAGGTTTTACCTCAGAACTCTGAGCTACACAGTTGACCAATGGGGGGGGAGAGCAGCAACCTGCCTGGCACATGGAAAACAATTGGGGGAACACATTTTGCCCCTTTTTTACTCCCTTAGGGGTCATGTTTCTCAGAAACCTCTTTGTGTGGGGAGGGTTGACGTCATGGAGGGAATGCATTCCCCTTATGTTGGGTTTCTTGGTGCAGGGGTTTGGCCTGGGCATTGAATTAGGGGGGAGGGCATACTCCCCCCCCTTTTTTTTTTTTTACAAAATTGCCTCTCATTTATGTTACATTTAAGAAGTGGGACATAACTACGTATTCAAAACACCATCTGAGCAATCAGATATTAAACAAGTTCATATGAAACAATTTTCTAGAACCCACATTGTGAGAAGTTAAATAACCTAATAAAGGAAACCAGTTTTCTACAAATTTGGGGTATATTTCCATTGCGGGTGGGAGTGTGGCTAAGCTGGGCCAGCAGCACCGCTAAGGTGATCCTGCTGGGGCGGTGTCCCTGATGGATTAAAGTGCTTTGGTCCTGCTCCTACACCTGACAGACACCCGCCTG